GCTCTCCACTCGGCTCTCCGTCCACGCAGCCTGGGGACCTGCAGGTGCATTTGAGCCAGGCCACCCTCATGCGTGAAGTCAGATTGTTCATCCAGGTCCGGGTGTTTGGGAGCCATTCCCACCAGGCTTTGCGCTGAGAGCACAGTCAGACATGGCCCTGTCCTTGTGGCACCTGGAGTCCAGTGGCAGGACCTGCACTGAGCAAAGATGCATATGGCTCAGTGTCACATTTGCTCAAGTGACTTGAGAGTGCACAGCAGGGGCCCTGAGAGAGCCTAATAGGTTAGAAAAGTCCCTCCACTCTGTGCCCTGTGGGCTCAGTGGGCCCATCCTGTGTGACAATCATAGCGCCTCTTCCTGCCTCTGCCCCTGTGTCCTGATGGTCGGACCCTGAGGAACGTCTGTGGGGGCAGGAGGGCCCAGCAGCCAGGATTGGAGTCCAAAATTCTCCTACTTTCTAGCCCCGGGCCCAGTCTCATCCTTGTCACCTATATAACAGAAATCTTTGCATTTTGAATTGGCAAACTCATAGGCTTCTCCACTAAGTACTGGACAGCCCAGTACCTGGCACCTGGGGAGCTGGTGGCCACTTTCGTTGTCACTGACATGGACGGGATCAGAAAGCCAGCCAGCTCCAGGCAGAGCCGCCAGAAGCCTCTCATGCCACCCAGAACCTAACTTGACCCCTTCTGTTTGCCTTCCCACAGGAGAACCCTGACACCTTCCTCTCAGCTGTGGACACAGACTGGAAGGTAGGTTGAGGCTCGGCCTCCCTAGATATGGACCCACAACTGGCCAGCCTCTCTTCCCACCTGTCCAGGCCCCAAAGTGTCTTAGTCCTTCATTCCTTGTGCCCCCATCCTGGAGTGGCCAGGGCTGGGCACCCCACGGTCACTGCTCACAGCAGCTCTGCCTGACCCCTGCCCAGTGGAGAGATGCCCAAGATGGAGGCAGTGGGACCCTCTGAACAGGACAGTTGGGAAGCCAGGGGAGGCCTGGGGAAGAGAGGACGGAGAAGGGAGGGAAGGATGTTGTCATCTGAATCAGCATTTTCCTCCAATGAGAGCCAGGTTGACTCTGAAATAGCTCCTGTTTCCATGGCAGCAGTTGCCTAGACAACCATGTCCTCTTTAGTTTGATGCCAGATTCTCCATGAAAACTGAACCTCTGTTTTTATTCCCCTGCATGATGAGTGTGTTCACTTGGCCAGTCATTTCTCCCCTCTGGGTCCCCTAGTGACCATTTATCTCCAGGTCTCAGAAAAATGTCTAACAGCCGTCACCAGGGGAGCCTTCCTGGGTGACCAGATCCCACCGTCCATCCAAATGTGCTGAACTAACACAGACCCTGCCTCCTGATAGATGGAAATAGCCCCCAGGTCACTGTCCTTGTCTCTGCCTGACCTCGATTTGGGTCAGTCTCCAAGCCCCATGACAGCACTGGCCTCGTGGTCTGGATGTCGGCATGACGTGCGGGAGGTGGGGCTGCCTCTGGCTCCTCCCCGAGCAAGCAGCTCCCTGCAAGGATGAGGATCTGGGCCTATGCATTGGTCCCTTGGTCACGCGCCTCTTCAAGGACACCAGGGGAGGCTTTGGGGCACACTGTGCATATGCTCAGATCCCCCCAGAACACCATCTCCAAACACAAAGGGCTCAGAGATGCAAGGAAAGGATGGGACTCAGCAGTGGGGGGTTAATTGTCCCTGGAGGAGGGATGGGAGGGATGTGGCCGGGACACAGCCCAGCTTGATAGGAAGGGACGGCTGGAAATCAGAGCAGACGGGACAGGGCATTCTCTTTGTCCTCAGTGATCCCAGTGAGGGAATAGGTGGGCACATGGGCCCTGAGGAGGGAGCTGGTGAGATAAAACCCCAGAGCAGCCAGCCCCGGCCCCCCAGGCTAGTCCTAAAGTGGGGGGGGGGGGGGTGCAGCCCTGCCACACATACCCCTGCTGCAGGAGCGATGGGGGAGGCCTGAGCCTGGAGGAGGACCCTGCTGCGTGGGAAGCTCCCTTTCAGCCGAACCTCTGAGCACAGGCAAGCCCTGCCCAGGACACCACTCCTGGCAGTGGCACCCAGGTTCTCAAGACCCCTTGCTTGGTAAAGGGCACATGTTAAAAGGCACCTTCCTGTCTCCCGCAGTCACACAGCTTGGAGACAGTTTTTTAGTTTTTAAGGAAAGTGGTCACAAAGATGGCCACCATCTGGATCAGGATCTGACATGGATTTTATCCCAAGTCACAGTGGCAGGCTGTATGACAACCTGGGCTTCAGTGGGCTCAGCCAGGGGAGATGGACCAAGACAGAGACCAACAAGCACCACACAGGCCTGAGCCGAGGTCCTGGCCCTGACACTTATCAGGCATGAGGCCTCCAGCACAAGTCACTCACTCATTTGTAGAGTGACACAGGCAGCTGAGTGTCTGTAAGGTGACGGGGCCCACAGATCCAGTACTCAGATGCTTGAATGACTGACAAGTGGCCGCTAGTGCATGGAGTCAGAGCCAGATGCCTGGGTATGTCCCTAGTTCTGTGTTCACCTAACTGTGTGGTGTTGGGCAGGTTACCAAACCTTTCTGTGCCTCATCTGCAAAGTGGATGTTAAAATGATAAAGTGAGATAATGTGCGAAGTCCGTGAACAGAGCCTGGCACGTGGGAGACATTTTAATGTGTTTGCTACTCGGTGATATAACCTCGGGCCCAGTGTGCCAAGCACTAGTAAGCTCCATGTTTTATTAGCTGGGTAGCAAAATTACCTGACCTCTCTGTGCCTTGGTCTCCTCGTCCTTTCCTGTAGGTTTGTGAGGGTTGTATGTGTTACATATGCCTTCGGGTTTCTCCCATTTACAGATGGGAAGCCTCAAAGAGGTTGACTGATGTGCCCAAGGTCACATCGCAAAGAAGTGGCAGAGCTATGGCTGGCACCAGGATTTCGCTAGCAAAAGCTGAATTTGTCTTGTTCAGACACAACTGCATGCCTCCAGAGAAGGGGTCAGCAGTTGGGGTGTTTTTGTAGTTTTGGTTTTGTTTTGGATTGAACCCAGGGGTTGCTTTACCACTGAACTACATCCTCAGCCCTTTTTACTTTTTATTTTGAGAGCGGATCTTGCAGAGTTGCTGAAGCTGGCATCCAACTTATGATCCTCCTGTCTCAGCCTCACGAGTCGCTGGGATCATAGGCCTGTGCCACCACATCCGGGTAGGGGCCAGCAGTTTGTAGAGGCTGGCAGATTGTCTCATCTCCCTGCCAGGGGAGGCAGAGTGGAGTCGGGCCTAGAGTGAAGTAGGCATTTTTGTGCTCGTTCTCATAGCGACTCAGCGAGGAAGGCACAATTCCTGCCTTACAGCTGCAAAGCCTGAGGCACAGAGAAAATAGAAACATCACCAAGGACCCACCTAGGGACCGGGCAGGACTTGTGCCCAGGTCTGTGGTTTTGCAGCCAGTGAACTGAGCAGAATTGGGGGTAGATGCAGGGGCAGTGCTAAGCCAGCTTCTCACCTGCAGGAAGGGTGGGGAGGGGACTGGGTGGGCACATGGGGAGCAGAACTCCAGCACCTTGAAGAAGCACATGGGAGGACTCAGGGCCAGACCCGCAGGGCTGGGCCTGTGCAGGGCGCCTCAGCTGTCCAAGCTCATTCCTGTGTCGTGTAGCTGCAGAAATGGGGAGCATGGACAGATGGAGGGGCTGGGGGAGACCCTGTTCCACACCATTGCACTCTTGCTAGGCCCCCTGAGTGAGAGGTCAGAGATGGGGCAGGGAAAGTTGTTGGTGCCCAGAGACAGAGGACACAGCCAGGAACAGTATACATGGCAGGTGTTGACCAGGTCAGCAGGCAGCCGTGGTCAGAGCATCCGCTGCCTTCCTGTGGGGCTAGCCCAAGAGCAGGGCTGTGGGCACAGACTGGGGTGAGCTGCGTGTTCCTTCACCAGTGAGACAGAACCGGGGCACCGGTGCCCAGCACCCGCCCTTTCTGTCACTCCCACCCATTCTCTGCCCTAGGGCTCCCTCCTCTGGTCTCCTCCCTGGCTTACCTTCCCTCCTCCTCTGCTCCCCTCACCTCCCCTTCTCCTCTGTGGCCTCTGCCTGCATGTCCCAGGCTAGCCCACCACCCACATTCCTGCTGCCCAGGAGGCCAGGGCATGGTACCCGAGGTAGCTCTGTGCCTGGGAACCACGCCCCACACCACTGGCTCCAGAAGAAGGGTCTGGCTGGCCGTGTGGAAGGCACAAGTCAGCTTGGACTGAAGGCCTCCTATTCCTCCTCCTCTCTCTGGAAGCGTCAAGCCCCTTACATCTGGGCAGGGGTGGGGTACAGAACTGGTGTGTTCTCCATGCCCTGCTCCTGCAATCTGCCCAGGACCCCCACCCCAAAGTCCCCTTTAGCAGTGTGGGCAAGCCCTGGGCATATATGTGGGCAGAGTGGGAGGTGCCCCATGGGAGACAGCCCCTGGCAGGTAGGGGAGAAGGATCAGTCCTCCTGAAGCAGGGAGATGACCCAGTTGTCCCCCAAAGCAATTCCTCAGGTCTCCCCAAGATCCATGCCTTCCTGTTGGGGAAGCTGGGGCTCGGGGTCTGGCCTTGGGCCCTTTGCTCCCAGAGTGTGAGTCAGGGGCTCTGCCTCTGTGGGGTATATACCGTGGGTCCTGCCCAGTGTGCGTCTGTGAGAGGCCCCTGGGTACCTAATGCAGGGTGGCCCCTGGCTCCTGTCTTCTTGGGATCCCATGTACACTGCTGCTGTTGGAGGGTGCCTGGGTGCTGGGGGGCAGGCGAACATCGAGGCAGGGACTGGGGACCATCCAGAATGAGGTGTTGCTGGGGCGGGAGAAGCAGGAATGAGGCTGGGGTGAGCGAGGACCTCAGAAGCCAATCGGAGCCAGGTTTGCCTCCAACAGCCAATCTCAGAGCAGGGACTCTGAGAGAGCTAGTGGCTGCAGGGAGGAGGGGCGGGCCTGGGCTGGGCCAGGATCTGCGTATAAATGGCCTGGGAGCTGTGCCCCGTCACAGAGCAGACTGTCTCCCACTCAGCCACCCTTTCCTCTGGACCCGAGTGACTCAGGCCTTTGTTTGCCCTCCTTGATCGAAGAGTTCCCTCCCTCGGCAAGATGCCGGAGTGCTGGGATGGGGTGAGTGAGGGCCCTGGGGGCAGCCAGCTGCGCAGGGAGGACAGGGCATCCTTGTGACCTGCAGGAAGGACAAGGCATCCTCTGCCCATGTCTAGTGACAGCTATGCCCTCAGTTGCCTGGAGTCACCGGAGCAAAGCAGGAGGTTCCAGTCTTCCTGGTGACCTGGTCTGCAGGTGCATGGGGGCAGCTGCTACTCAGGTCCTGGGGGGTGGCCTGGAGGGGTGGCATCTACAGGAAATGGAATGAGTGTACTGTCCGAGTCTTCTCATTGCCTGTGCGGACCTGTGTGCACACCCTGGTGGGTGTTCTCTGCCTGCCATGTGTCTGTCTGAGTGGCTGCTTGGGTCCTTGGGACCACCTCAACCCAGTGGGGGAAGGGTGGTCTGCGGTGAGCCCCAGGCTGTGCTCCTGGTGTCTGTCTGTGGTCCTGTCCTGGAGGCGTTGCTGGGAGTTTGGATGGCTGCAGTAGTGCCATGGAAAGGACAGGCAGCCTCTACCTTAGGAGTTGCTCCTGCTTTTCCAGGGTACAGAGGGGCAGAGGTCTGGACCTGCAGGCAGGGGACCCTGCAGGGAAGGGGACAAAAAGGAGTGACCCTGACTTATTTTGTAGGTTGGGGAAGGCAGCGCTGGAGGGATGACTACATGCCCCTAGGTGGGGGGCCCAGGGCACCTCCTCCTGCTCCCTAGGGCAGCAGGTACCCAAGCCCTGTGCCACTTTACCTTAAGGAGGGAGAAGCCTGCCCCACCACACCTGCCTGTCCGTTGGCAGACCATGCCATGGCCCACTGCATTTGCCACTACGTCAGCATCCACCGCCCATGCAGACCCTGTCCCCTGAATAATTGATACCGCTGACAGTCGCAGCACCACCCGCAGTGTGCTAAAGCCCAGCTCAGACCCCTACTTCCTCCAGCCCTCAAGGTCACGGCGAGGAGAGCCAGGCCGAGAGGGAATGTCAGAGCCCCCTCTCTTGCTGCCGCAGTGCATCCCTCGGCGCCCACCTGGGGTGGGGGCGGGCTCTGGCATGACGTCATCGAGAGCCAATGGGAGAGCCAGACCCTGAGAGTTGGGGGGCTCTGAGCTTGCAGACTGCGGCCCTTGGGGAGACCCCCAACCCTGAGCTGCCGGAGTGGGGGGTGTTGGGCCTGAGCTCCCCGCCAAGGGTCAGAGGAAGCGCTGGGAGGTCGTTGAGCGGCCAAGGTCACTCGGCCCCGCGGGAAGGTAGCCGCCAGCCCTTTCCCCGGCAGGCGCTGCCGCCCCGCGGAGGTGGGACTCGGCGGCTGCCGAGTTTCTCGGGACCTTGGCAGACACACCAGGGCAGGGAGGGGACAGGCTGGGCTTCCTCACCCACACTCGCCAGAGGGTGGGGCTGAGGGTCTGTATTTGGAAGGCGCCCGGGCCCTGGCTTCTGCCAGGCAGGGCAAAGGCTGACCCAGAGGCTGCAGAGAGCACCCCCCGCCCCCGCCAAAGAGCTTTGCCCTGTGCACCCCAACCTCATCCCTCCAGAGCTGACAGCCAGCAGAACAGCGAGTGACTGGTGGATGTGGCAGGGTCACCCCAACAGGGGCTGCCACCGTGCAGAGGCTGCCTGCTCAGGAGGTCTCTTGGGCGAAACTTGATCTCCTTAGAAAACAGCCCTTGGTGCCAACCCTGGCCTCTGAGACAGGCTGTGGCAAGGATGCCACCCCTCCACTCCCACCCCTGCGCGGCCTCACTCTAGGCTCAGAGTAGGGCTCAACCTTGGGCCAGTCACTTCTCCTTTCTGCCCTCCATTCCTCCCCCTCTGCCTCCATTCAGCTCTCCATTCAGCTCGAGGAATAGAGGAGACAACACATGAAAAGTGTCTAGTCAGTGGCCAGGGAGCCGGCCTTGATCTGATGCGCCCTGAGGGTGGACAGGGAGGGCTGCCTGGAGGACAGGCCTCCAGGCAGAATGTGGCTTCCAGGGTGTGGCCTCTGGCCACCGGGATGGCACCTCGTCACTCCTTGCTGAACATGCAATCCATGAGGTGCCCTGCTTAGTCACATAGTAAGGGGCAAAGCCAGGTTCTCCTGCAAGACTGGTGACCCTGAGCAGCAAAACCCAGGCCAAGGACTCGGGAGGAGCAGGAGCTGCACTGCAGAAGCCTGGGGGAGGGGTGGGTGTCTAACCCTGCCTTGCCTGAAGGGGGACCTTGGATGCTGGGGCTGCGGGGAAGGGCATTCAAGGTGGAAGGAGCAAGGGCCCTGAAGCGGGGACCTGGGCAGGGCTGTGGGGCAGGGCTGGGTGTTTTCTGAGGGTGCCAGACAGGCCTCTGAGGCTATTCCCCTTCTGCAGCAGGGAGCCCTTGAGGATTCTGAGGTGGGGGGACTTGGGCTTGGGTGGCAGAGCCATCCTGAGGAGCTGCAGCAGGATGCAGAAACCTGGCCTCCTGGCCCCTGAAGGACAGAGTGTAGGGTAGGGGGCTGGGCCTGGCCCGGGCAGCACTATCCGTTGACTGGTTTACAAAGGGGACCAGAACTTTGCTTGCAATTGCTGTTGTTGCTATGCTGAGTACCTCTGAGAACGGGTACTGCCTCTGACCCTTCCTCCCAGGAGTGGGAGCTGCTTGGGTGATGGGAATAGGACACTAGCTGGTGGCCACCATAGTCCCTGAAGTCTTGGGCTGTCCCAACCAACACATTGCCCAGAAGAGCCAGGAGTGGGGGCTGCTGAGAGCATCTGGCACTATCTGTTCTCTCCAGGAACATGACATTGAGACGCCCTATGGCCTTCTGCACGTGGTGATCCGGGGCTCCCCCAAAGGGAACCGCCCGGCCATCCTCACCTACCATGATGTTGGCCTCAACCGTAAGTGCAGCCTGGTTTCACGCAGCCCTCCCCTCAGCACGGCCTCCCCTCTCCGCCCTCCCACAGGGCCTGGTAAACCCCTGCTCACAGTTAGCTCTTCTGGCCTGGCTTTTCCTGCTGGGCCCTGAGGCTGATCACATCTGCTGCAAGCCGACAAGGCTGCTGGCCTCCTTTCCCTCCCCTACCCATCGGCTCAGCCAGCTGAGAGGTGTGTCTTTGCAGACAAGCTGTGCTTCAACACCTTCTTCAACTTTGAGGACATGCAGGAGATCACCAAGCACTTTGTGGTATGCCACGTGGATGCCCCCGGACAGCAGGTGGGGGCGTCGCAGTTTCCTCAGGGGTAGGTGCCCTGGAGCCCCTTCACCTGTCCCCAGCCCACACCCCAGGCTGCACTGGGCCTGACCTCCTGCCCTGCCTGCAGGTACCAGTTCCCCTCCATGGAGCAGCTGGCCGCCATGCTCCCCAGTGTGGTGCAGCACTTTGGGTGAGTTCCCTCCTGATCTGCCACACTGTGGAGCCGTCTGCACAGGTCGAGCTGAGGGTTGAGGGTGGGGCCTGCTCTGGATGGGAAATAGCACCCACAACCCCAGAGTGACCAGCCATACTCTGCACCAGGTTCAAGTATGTGATTGGCATTGGCGTGGGAGCCGGAGCCTACGTACTGGCCAAGTTTGCAGTGAGTTTCTCTCCCCCACCCAGGATCCCCCTCCCTGTGCCCTTTCCCCCTCCTCCTCCTCCTACTCCTCACTTATTAGATTGTTTTTTTTGCGGGGAGGGGATACTGGGAATTGAATCCAAGAACCCTTAATCATTGACTTGTGTCCCCCGCCCTTTTTACTTTTTATTTTGAGACAAGGTCTCACTGAGTTGCTGAGGGTCTCACTCAATTACTGAGACTGGCCTTGAACTCAGGCTCCTCCTCAGCCTGTGAATCACGAGGACTACAGGTGTGCATGTACCACCGCACCTGGCCTCTTGATTGATTAGAAAAGCCCCTTTTTATTTTTTCCTTCCAAGGAAATTAATTTTATAGCAAGAAAAAGAGGATACTTTTTCCATACATTTTTTTTCAAAAGATCACTAACTATAACTTGCTTTACGATTATCCAAAGCCAGAATTTCTATTAGTAACTCACTACATCATCAGTTGCTCTACCACTAAATAAGGGTTAAGGTAACATTTGAACACGAGTAATCCTTTAACAAAATATTATACTTATTAGGGTTGTGAGGTTTAAAGTCATGTTTCAAAAACATCATGTTTGAGGGCAGGAAAGCTTTTCGTCTCTAAAAACAAACAATTTTTTAGCATTCAAAACATTTTTTCCTTCAATCAATCAATAAATAAATAAGCAAGAGTTTTCAACTTCATTCAGTTCCCAGTTTCAGCACTTAATCACGTGGCAGCTCGACGCTGCTCTGTGCTCCTGCAGAGGCTGGACGGGCCCGGGATTTTGTGTATTTCTGTTTCTTCCTGAACACGGACCCACAGTTGATCAGAAAATTCAGATCCCTTTTATGACGTCTGATACAGAACAGGCTTTGAAAAGGTCAAGTTCCTAATTGATACCACAAGGGCTTTATTTTCTATAAAAGCAAAAAAGTAACATGTTTCAGACTTTAAGATGTTTAATACTCTCAATTGCAACACCTTCAAAAATATCATTAACAGGGGCTGGGGAATGTGGCCTGGTGGTGGAGTGCTTGCCCAACATACAAGGCCCTGGGTTCAATCCCCAGCATGGCAAAATAAATAAATAAATAAATAGTATATGTGTATTCACACACACACACACACACACACACACAAAGAAAGGGGTGAGAAACAGTGATATATTCTAAATAAATCAAAGAATGTATAGGGGCTGGGCGAGACAGGAGAATGAGCAGGGTCCCTGGCCATGGCAGCCCATGCATGTCCCCAGCTGCGGTCAGTTGATCCATGAATGGCATCGTGAAGATTTTACAAAGCATTTTCACCTCTTCTGACTTCCTAACCATCTGTGAGACAGGCAGGATTTGACAGCCCATTTTCTAGGTGGAAGAAGGGGGCTCCCTGCACCCCATCCCTCCCCGCGCCCCCCAGCCCTTCTCCCCTCTCCCTGCAGCTCATTTTCCCAGACCTCGTGGAGGGGCTGGTGCTCATGAACATTGACCCCAATGGCAAAGGCTGGATCGACTGGGCTGCCACCAAGGTGAGCGTGGTGTCCCTGGGATAGGGTGGTGACTCTGCGCGGTGCTCACCCTGGCTGCCTCCTCCCGCAGCTCTCCGGCCTGACCAGCACTTTACCAGACACGGTGCTCTCCCACCTCTTCAGCCAGGTAAGGGGTGGAGGCTTCTGCAGACCCTAGCTGTCCTCAAACCGGAACAGGGGCGGCTGGGCGAGGAAGGTCACTGAGGCTTGGGAAGCTGCTGTTTGGCACCATACCTCGTCCCATCCAGCAGGAGGAGGCAGGCGTGGTTATTTGGCATCTGACCTGTCTCGAGCCACATTCTGTTGTCATCCCTGATGCCCAGCATCTGAAAGACCCACAGGAGTGGGAGATTTCCCCTCTCCTCCCCTCTTGAGGCCCCGCCTCCCACCACCCCCCATGGGGAGCAGGGCCAGGGCTGCTCTAGAGGTGACACCCACAGGTTCCCTTTGTGCTCCCTCCTTGTCCCCTCCTCGCGCCCCCCGGGCACAGGAGGAGCTTGTGAACAACACCGAGCTGGTGCAGAGCTACCGGCAGCAGATCGGGAACGTGGTGAACCAAGCCAACCTGCAGCTCTTCTGGAACATGTACAACAGGTGTGGCAGGCACTTGGGCCAGGGGGTCCCCTCCCTGTAGTCACCCATAGGAGGAGACAGGGAGGCCACACGCCCCATTTGTAGATGATGAGCAGGCTGTGGAGCCTCAGAGGGGTAGCATCCTTCCCAGGGTGCACCCTCCTGGGGGATAAAGGGAAGAGGGGTTTGGGGCCTTTGTTGAAGGGCCTTGCTGACTGGGAGCTCTGGGGGTCATTAGCAACATTTCTGACCCAAAGACATGGAGACTGGTTGCTGACCTCTGTAAGCTGCAGGAGGTCAGATGAGATTATGCGTTGGGGGTTGTCCTTTGGGAAGGTAGCCAGGCCCCCCACCACTTGCCCTCCCTCCCTTCCCTGTCTTTTGCAAGTATTTATTAAACATTGGTTGGAAAACCAAGAACGAATTAGTACTGCCTTTCAAATGATCCAGGAGCCAGGCCAGCAGCAGAAACTCCCACAAGAATGGCAATGCCCAATTGGGGTGTGGTGGTGCAGGCCTGTGATCCCAGTGATTCAGTGGCTAAGGCCAGAAGAATCCAAGTTCAAGGCCAGCCTGGGCAACTTGGCAAGCTCCTGTCTCAAAAAGAACTGGGCCTGGGCACAGTAGCCCATGCCTGTAATCCCAGTGGCTCAGGAGGCTGATACAGGAGGATCACAGGTTCAAGGGCAGCCATAGCAATGTAGCGAGGCCCTAAGCAACTTAGTGAGACCCTGTCTCTAAATAAAACGTAAAAAGCATTGGGGATTTAGCTCAGTGGTTAAGTCCCTCCCAGTTAAATCCATGTACCCACCCCCAAGAAAAAAAGAACTGGAAAGGTAGCTTAGTGGTAGAGCATCCCTGGGTTCAATTCCCAGTATCACAAAAAAAGGGGTGATCCATAGCACTCTGAGGGAGATAGAGGGCAAAATCTGGGAGCCCACCTGGCCTGAGTCGGGTTTAGAGTCACACGAGGGAAGCCCAAGGTCCCTGGTTCTGCAGAGCAGGTTCACGGCTCCGTTTTACCAGTTGGCAGTGTTGGGTTTTGGCACTCTCCCTCCAGCCCTGGGATGCCCACCTTTGCCTCTGCCCCTTCCCTGCAGCCGCAGAGACCTAGACATTAACCGGCCTGGGACGGTGCCCAATGCCAAGACACTCCGGTGAGTGACCGCTGGCCCTCCAGCCTGCTCTGGACTTTGTCCCCCGTGCCTAGCCCAGACAGCCTTTTCCTCTGTGTCCGCAGATGCCCCGTGATGCTGGTAGTCGGGGATAACGCACCTGCTGAGGATGGGGTGGTGAGTGTGGGATTGTGTCCTGACTCAGGTGGGATTCAGAGTTGGATGCTCATTGGGCTCTGGCCAGCAGGGCCGATGTTTTGATACAGCCCAGGGTAGCCTTAGGGACATGCATTGGATGGTGGCTTCCCATCTACCTCCCAGCCATCTTGCCACACTCGTCCTGCAGGTGGAGGGAGCTGGGGACAGGAAGGAGCTGGCGCAGGGCTGGGCTGGCTGGCAGCCTGGTCCTCCAGCAGCGCAGTCCTGCCTGACTCCATGCACTGAAGGCCCAGAGCCTAAGATCTCTTCTTCTAAAATTTGACCCATTATGAAATAGATTCACTAGCACAACCCCACTGTTCCCCTTGACCACCACAGGCACCCACAGTGTTGGGGGCCATGTGTCACCTCTCCTGTTGGAACTCTTGGCAGCAGGCTGCCTGGGGGGTGGGTGCCCTTCAGCACAGAAGTGGCCAGAGTAGCCCCCATGTGCCTGGGAAATACCAAACCAGGGTATATGAAGGGCAAGCAAGAACAGGGTGTGGCTGCGCTTGCCATCTTGACCCAGGCAGGGCCTCAGTCTCCCGGTGATCCCCAGCACCTCTTGCCTTACTGCCCTGACCCTGGGGCTTCCCTAGACCCATCCACCTGAGTGGCCCTGGCTCTCCCTGTCCCACTAGCAGTTGTGAATAGGACCTGACGATGTCAGGCCCCTCCTGGTGCGGTGGGGGAATGCCAACTGATCTCCGGGGCCTGGGGAGCCTGAAAGGAGAGCACCTAGGAAGGGCTGCCCCTGCCTACCTGTACCTCCCTCCTCTGCTGTGGGCACACAACCCACCTTAGCAGGGGTGGGGTGGGGTCTTGCTGAAGCTGGCTCCTTGTCCCCAGGTGGAGTGCAACTCCAAACTGGACCCAACCACCACCACCTTCCTGAAGGTGAGCCCTGCCTCCCAGCCCCCAAGGTGGTCATGGCCTCAGGGAGGGGCCTGTTGGGGTCCCACCCAGGGCTGAAGCAGGACAGTGTGTCTAGTCAGCAGAGCCTGTCTCAGTGGGGGCTGCTCAGCTCTCCCCACTCTCTCCCTTGCAGATGGCAGATTCTGGAGGGCTCCCTCAAGTCACACAGGTGAGACTCTTGCCCTCCTGCCTTTACACCACCTACTTGGCCCACTTAGGGAGTTGTGGGAGAGCGAGGGAGGCCTCCCCCCGCACCCCAGGCAGCCTATCAAAGCTTATGCTGTCCCACTCTCCTGCAGCCAGGGAAGCTGACTGAGGCCTTCAAATACTTCCTGCAAGGCATGGGCTACAGTAAGTATCCCTCCACCCAACCCCGACCTAAGGCTGGTGTCCCCAGGGGCATGCTGGCACAGTGTGGACCCGGGTGCTGGGGAGCCTGTGGGCACTTGGGCCATGCTCTCTGGACTACACCTGTGTTCTAAGTTGCATGTCCCAGGCCAAGCCGAGGCCCCTGTGCCTTGGAGGCAGCCTCGGGTACTCTTCTGAGGGCAGGACTGGGCCTATTTGGGAAAGAGAGGCCTCTTCTCCCAGTCCAAGGCCTAGAGCTCGGTCCTGCCAAGAAGCCTGTTTGAGGTGAGTCACTCACCCCCTGCTGGGCCGGGAGACATAAGGACTCTTAGGGCACCTGAGAAGGCCCTTTGTCACAGGTGGAGGGTGGTACCTAGTGGCATTATGGGAGTGGGCTTGGGGTCTGGGGACCAGGGAAGTCAAGTGGGCCCATCTGGGTGTTAGGAGACCTGAAGACAGCCAAACCTGGGGGAGGAACACCTGAAGACCCTGAGGAAACAGGACATGAAGGACCAGCTCCTGTTCCCTATCCTTTCTGAAACTTCGGGGCCGGGATGGTGAGACTCCGGTACACACAGACATGCACACTCTCTTGAGTGGCTCTGGGGACCCTCCCTCGCCTCTCATCTCCATCCCCAGCACACCCACTGGCAGGAAGCAAACTTTCTGTCCCCAACTCGCTTGTTTTTTCCTCAGACCTCACCTGTCTCTGGAGCGTATATCACTTTGGAAGAACTGATGGGGTCGAGCTAGGGGAGTCTGGGGGATAGTGGGGACATGGCCAGGAATAAAAGCCCTTGGCCCCAGGGCCTGCCAGCCTCTCTGAGAAGTAGAGCAGAGAGGCCAAGGCCAACAGGGAGGCACCTCCAGGGTCTGAGGCTGGGCCCTGTGCATGCAGGAAGCTCTGTGAACATTCTGGAGGTGATGAATGAGCACCTGCCCCAGTGACCTCAGGGGCCCTAAAGAAATCCACCAGACAGCTGGAGCTGAGAGGGATTTGGGAGGTTGTGCAGGCCTCCCCTCTTCTGTAAGTGGGGAGACTTCACCCACAGAATAGTGAAGGCACTAGGCCTAGAGTATGGGCCCAGAAAGTCTTGTCCACATGAGCCTCTCATTGTTCCTTGCCAGGGTGGGAGGGGGGTAGATGAGAACCCCCATCCAAGGGCTCTCTTGGGCCAGACTGAGATTAGTCCCTGCTGTAGGTCCTTCCAGGGGTTGCTCTTGGGTGGGCTTGCAGGACTGGGCTCCTGTGGCTTGGCCCTGCCTGGCCCTGTCTGTGTTTGTCTGATCTCTTTGGTCCATCTCGATGCCCTGGCCTCAGCCCAGCCATGATCTTCACAGTGTTGTGTCTCCCTGTCCCCACCCCCTCTCTGGCTCTTCTCTCTTAGTTGCATACTTGAAGGACCGAAGGCTGAGTGGAGGAGCAGGTAGCCTTGTGGCCCCTCTCCTGATGCATGGACACCCCTTCCAGCCTCTCCCCTGCTCCTTCCTCTGTGCAGTGCTGCAGCCAGGTTGCATCTTGCTGTGATTTGGAAACTTCTTGTGTCCTGCTGCACTCAAAAACTCAGAAGATTCCTGTTCTTCTGCAGATCCTGGTCCACTGTGGGCTCTATCCTGTTCAGGGCTGGGTCTCAGAGCAGTCTTGCTTCTAGAATGCCATGGGCTGCGGGGCTTCCAGAGCTCTGGGAGTTAGAAACAGAACCTCCTCAGAAGTAGAGCCCAGGTCTGGCCTTGTGGGCAGCCATGCTGGCCCTGACCAAGCCAAACAGGCTGGCAGACGGGTGGGTGGGCAGGTGATTTCAGGCGAATGAAGTTTGCTGCCTGCAAGTCTCAACTGTGAGAATGAGAGCAAAAATGGGCAGCTTGCAACCATGACATATGTCCTCCTTCACAAAAGCAATCCTGCTTCCCCATCCCATCATCCTTTTTTTAATTCTAGTGCTAGGGTTTGTAGCTACATCCCCAGCCCTTTTTGAGTTGTCCAGGCTGGCCTCTAGCTTGCAATCCTCCTATCTCAGCCTTCTCAGCAGCTGGGATTAGAGGTGTCACTGTATCTGGCTCCCGTCATCCTCTTGGGGGAGGCCTGGTTGGAAACAGGGGCGCCTGGTCAGCACATTCCCTGTCCTGGCCATAGCTCTGGCACAAGGCCCCACTGGCCATAGCCCCTTTGGCCCATTCACCATTGCCAGCCCTGCATGCCTCAGGCCTGATGGTGCCAGTTCCCTGGCTTGGGATGGACCTGTGTCAATGGAAGACTGGGTCTCGCTGGCCGCTTTGCTTGTATTATCCTTTTCCCAGCCGCTGCTGCCTCGCCCTACCCGGCAGTCCTCACACCTGTTCCGTTTCTGTCCACAGTGCCCTCGGCCAGCATGACCCGTCTCGCACGATCTCGCACCGCATCTCTCACCAGTGCCAGCTCAGTGGATGGCAGCCGCCCACAGGCCTGCACCCACTCAGAGAGCAGTGAGGGGCTGGGCCAGGTCAACCACACCATGGAGGTATCCTGCTGAATCCCTGAGCTCCACTCAAGACACCTACCCACCTGCATCCAGGTCCCACTGCCATCCCTGCACCGGCTCATTTTCCCTTTAGTTTATTTTTGTGAGGGCAAAGGGGGGAAATGGGGCTACTTCTTTTAAAAAATGAGGGGATCCACCTTAGATGCTGCAGCATAAGTCTGCAGATGGTTTGAGGGGTCCCCATCCCCCACCCTCATCTCACTCCCCATGTGAACTTGGCTTATCAGGCCCTCACATCCAACAGCCTGGACACAGTCAGGGCTGGGCCTCAGAGAGGATGGGGTTAGATGAAGAAAGAGTTGGAGTTCTTGGGCCAGGATCCAGGATCATTCCTGGATTAAAGGAAGAACATGGCTCCACCCTTGGACAGGCAGGTTTGGAGAAGGGATGGGGTTTTGAGATGGTCAGTGTTGGGTTCAGATCCTGATGTGGGGGCCCGGAGAGAGCAGCCAGGGACTCTGGAGCTCTGAAGGCCTCTTGCACTCCACCAAGCACATCCGTTTCTGGTTTGTAGTACAGGTGCTAGGCATATGCTGACCAAGCAGTGGCTTTGCTGCAGCGCCTAGGCTAGTGCTGTAGGGCCAAATGGGCTGAAGGGAGTTTCTTGGCCTAGGGACAAGGAGAATCCTGAGGGCAGGAACCCTAACACAGTCCCTTTCTAGGCTATACTCTGCCACTTTCTGGCCCTGTCCCATTCTGAGCCAAGGCCTCCCTGAGGCAGAAGTTACCTATCCCTCTCTAGTGACCTGACTGAGGACAGAGGAAAAGGACTGGAATTGCTCTTGTATGTTTTGTATACCCAAGAACTTCAAGGTTACCACCCGTGGGAGCCAGCAGGTGGCCAGAGGCAGTGTAGCTTAGAGTTCTCTTAGACCCCTGTTTGCCTTAGTCCCAGAGGGGAACCCACTCAGCAGCAGGGTGCTGTCCAGCAGAGCTCCTGTGCAGTGGCAGCATCTCCAGCAGGCATCACTGAGGAGGCAAGTTTATCTGGAGAGGCTGGTCCAGGGCAGCAAGACTCCAAAGCCCCATGTCACCAACTCTACCTGCTGGAGTGGGCACGGGCTGGGCTTCCTGGGTCCTGGGGTGGCAGATGAAGGTTCTTGAAGTAAACAAGGAGCCAGGCAGAGAAAAGCTCCCTATATACACAGAAAAATTCCCCTCCTGCCACCTGATGCCCAGGACTGTTGCCATTTATTTCCCACCCACCCACCTTACCAGGTATAATCCCCCAGCCCAGAAAACAGAGCCATTTGTCTCAGCCTAACTAAATTGTCACCACCCCCACTCCCCCCAGAAAGGAAAGCACTGGAAAAATGAAGGGCTGCCAAGGGGTAGGGTAGTGTGTTGTGTGGGTGTTCTGAGGCTGAGGACTCCAACATCTGCATTTCCTCACACACATAGCCTCCTTTCTATAATCTTAAGCCATTACTAGATTGCTCTAGGGCCTGGTGGAGTGTAGTCTGTCCTCAGTTCTGTTGACTCACGTGCTTCCTTTGAATATTGAATGTGACTGTTTAAAGCTGGTAGAATTAACCCTCTTACTGTAGATAGAACTGCAAGTATTTTTGTTTTTTTGCTGTGTTCTTTCTGATATCTATAAATATCTATACATTATATATATGTGTATGTATATTGGGTCCTCCTGCGTGTGGTTTTTCATTGGAGGTTGTCTCTTCTTTGATCAAGGTGAACTTTTAATGGGGAGTTTATTATTTTCCTCTCTGTACAAAGAGCCTAATTTTGTGTATTCTGGTGGCTGATGTCCTAAGACTTTGAGATGACAAAATGTAAAACAAATAAAACCCTTGTCAATGTAGAAAGAGTTACCTGTACTGAAAAACTAATAAACTAAGAAGAACCTAAGTGTGGCCATGCTGTGTGGAAGCTTTCCAAGAGACAGAATGTTTATGCTGCCTGGGCCAGTGCCTCTTGGGCTTGGGTGGGGTGGAGGGTGCCGGTTGAGGGCAGGGGCTGTTTCCACCCATCTCTACATTTCCACTTATCACCTTACCAATCTTAACATCAATTCTACAGAATGGATAATCTGTTTCCCCGTGTTAGGATAAAGGATCTGCCCCATGTGAGGCCAAGCTCGAATTAACTTGGCCTTGTTTGGCTACAAAACTGTAACCTGTAACCCATTCAGGGCCTCGTTTTCCCAAAATTAACAGCAATTTACTTCTCCATGTTTAATCCCAATTGGCTGCATTCACTACTTATTTACACATACCTCATACACGTCAACTAATAAAAAGAAAGTAAATAAACTCGCCAAGCGGTAGGCAGATGGAAATCGGGCAGAGGGGGTGTTCTGCGGACTCCGGAGCCAGCTGGGGCACGCCACTCTCCAACAAACGCGCAAACTCTCCCAACCGGACAAATCACGGTCGCATGGCCCTTGGTACGGGGGCCGAGATCCGGGACACCCTTGAGGGGAGCCCGCCAACCGACAGCCGCCACGCCCTCGGAAAGAACCCCGATTTTGTTCTCGCACGCAGACTTCTACCGCAGGAAGCCTCGGTTCTCGGGGTCAGACCGAAAGCAAGCAGCGGAGGGTCCAGGCTCCAGACGGCTGGAGACAGGCCTGCACTCGGGTTGCGCGTCTTCTAAATCCAATTGGAAATCAGAGTTACGGACGCTCTGGGAACAAACGGAAACCCTCACTCCTTTTCGGCGCGGACGCCAAAACCCGGCCCCCGGGGTTCCGGCACGTCCCGCCCGCCGGCGTCCTGTTGGGGCGGGGCCAGCAGCGCCGGAAGCGCCGGCGCGGGCACGCGGAGCGGTGGCGCGGGCCACGAGTCGGACCATGGCGACCCGGACCAAGCGCCCGCGGGTGAGTGGCGGGCGGCCGGCACCCGGCCCATCGCTCTGCCCCGCCCTGAGGCAGCCGGCGCGCGCCACTGCGCCCCCAGCCGCAGGTCCGGTTCCCCTCTTCCGCGTTCCCTCCCCCAAGCAAAGCGCGGCTCCCGCGCGCGCGCGCCGCCATCCCCGCGGGCTCCCTGGGGCGGGGCCTCGTCACTCGGCTCATTTATCTCAGGTGGCGCAACCGGGGGGCGGAGGCGAGCCGGACTCCGACCCTGTGGCTGGCTTCCTGAGCTGGTGCGGGCGGGTAGGGCTGGAGCTGAGCCCCAAGGTGAGTGGAAGTGCGGCGGGGTGGAGGGGCGCGCGTCCCCGACTGCTCTGACTGGCGTTTCTCCTCCCCTCGCAGGTGGCGGTGAGCCGGCAGGGCACTGTGGCCGGTTACGGCATGGTGACTCGTGAAAGCGTGCTGCCCGGGGAGCTGCTATTCGCGGTGCCGCGGGCAGCGCTCTTGTCGCCACACACCTGCTCGATTCGGGGCTTGCTGGAACGAGGTAGGCACACTGGCGGACGGAGTCATCGAGGCAGGCCCTGGAGCCGTGCCGGGGCGCTCACTCCTGTGCTTTCCCTAGAGCGAGACGCGTTGCAGAGCCAGTCGGGCTGGGTGCCACTGCTGCTGGCGCTGCTCCATGAGCTGCAGGCCCCAGCCTCGCTGTGGAGCCCCTACTTTGCACTGTGGCCCGAGCTGGACCGCTTGGAGCATCCCATGTTTTGGTGAGCTCAGTGGGAGGGGTTGTGGAGCTCCCATTTCACTAATTGCTCCAGCCACCCTGCCCTGGGTGGGGACCAGGCCCCCACGCACTGGTCATGATAGGGTGTGAAGGGAGCTGCTCTGGGGTGTATCTGCAGGCCAGAAGAGGAGCGCCAGCGCCTGCTGCAAGGCACAGGTGTCCCGGAGGCAGTGGATAAGGATTTGGCCAACATTCGCAGCGAGTTCTATTCCATCGTGCTTCCCTTCATGGAAGCCCATCCGGATCTCTTTGGCCCCAGTGTTCGCTCCCTGGAACTCTACCACCAGCTAGTGGCCCTTGTGATGGCCTACAGGTCAGCGAGTAAAATCTTGGAGGACCCAACACCATTGAGGGATAAGGGTGGTGGAGGAAGAAGACAGTGAGCTCCACTCATAGTCTCCCACCCAAACCTGGGCCTTAGCCAAGTTCTCTCTGTGGCAGCTTTCAAGAACCACTGGAGGAAGAGGAAGATGAAAAGGAGCCGAATTCCCCTTTGATGGTGCCTGCTGCAGACATACTAAACCACTTAGCCAATCACAATGCCAATCTAGAATACTCTGCAGTGAGTGGATCCCGCCTAGTTTCTGTTATGTGCATTGACTGAGCATCTGATTCAAACTAGTGTCCTGGGGTTCAGTTTTCCTACTCATACTAAATATGAGTGGGTGAAATACGAAATTCTGTGTAATTGTGGTATACATAAGGCAGTAAAGTAATTTGTACACAAAACATTTTAAAGCCCTCAAGAAATCCTGATAAGCTGGGTGTGGTGGCCGGTAGGCTAAGGCAAGAGGATTGCAAGCAACTCAGTGAGACCCTATCTCAAAAAAAAAAAAAAAACATTAAAAGGGTTTGGAATGTGGCTCACACCCCTGGGGTTCAATCCCTGGTATCAAAAAAAAAAAAAAAAAAAAAAAGAAATCCTCACATAAATCGTTATTACCACCATTTACTTGGTGCCCATGCTGGGTGGTATTCATAGCCATGTTTCCTTCTCCACTGGCTGCTCTGGCCATGTCAGTCAAGACTCAGTTAGCTCTGGGGACAGCAGCCTGGAATGGCTATGGTCTCAGTAGTTTTCAGGAGGAGAGGTGCGAATGTTCATAAGCCCAAGTCTAAGATGACCCCATTTTGGGTCAGTTCTATTCTATAGGAATATTTGACAAACATTCACTGATTAAATCAGTGAATGTTGCTATTAATAGTTTCACTTGTCTTTTAATATATTGATCTGGGTTTAATAGTTCATTTTTTTTTTCACATCTTCATACTAATAGTTCATTTTTAAAAGCTAACTTTTTCAGTGCAGAAGATGAACGAACAAAATTTACCTAATATCACAGGTTGTGATCTTTTTAAAGTTAGGCCTTATCCCTTTCAATCTATAGTATAGGGTGTGACAGGAACTAAAAGCAGAATGGGGGTAGATACAGCTCAGTTCCCTGGCTGAGTATACCTGCCGGAGGCTTTCCTAAGAGGAGTGTGATCTTTGCGGGGTTGGCCTCAGAAGGGCATGGCTCCAGCTTCTCCCTTTCATCCCAGGATTATCTTCGGATGGTGGCTACCCAGCCCATTCCTAAAGGCCAGGAGATTTTCAACACTTATGGACAAATGGCTAATTGGCAACTTATTCACATGTACGGTTTTGTTGAACCATATCCTGACAACACGGATGACACAGCAGACATTCAAATGGTGACTGTCCGTGAAGCTGCAGTACGGGGTGAGTTGTCTCATTAACTTGTCTTCTGACAACCACAGCTGTGTCTGTACCCATGCAGCTTAGGTTATAATAGCTTTGCTAAATAGTGGTTGACTTATTGAAAATAAGCTCCTGGGTATACCAAGACTGGCCCTGTTACTTCATCTACAGGAACAAAAGGTGAAGCTGAAAGGCTCCAACTATATGAGCGCTGGGATTTCTTATGCAAACTGGAGATGGTAGGGGAAGAGGGTGCATTTGTGATTGGTTGTGAGGAGGTGCTAACTGAAGAGGAACTGGCCGCCACACTCAAGGTAAAGGGCTGAGAATTGTCTCGTGTAACGGTGATTGGTGATTAATGAGCAAGTACTTAAATGACCCGGACCCATGATTGTTTTCAGGTCCTGTGCATGCCTGCTGAGGAGTTCAGAGAGTTTAAAGACCGAGATGGATGGGGAGAAGATGAATGGGAAGAGGACAGACTAACAGTCACAAATATCCCCAAGCTCAAAGCATCATGGAGACAGCTTCTACGAGACAGTGTTCTTTTGACTCTGCAGACCTATGCCACAGATTTAAAAACTGAGGAGGATGTACTCAGTAATAAGGAGGCCTATGCAAAACTCAGCTGGAGGGAAAAGCAGGCCTTACAGGTTAGGTATGGTCAGAAGATGATCTTACATCAGTTATTGGAACTGACAAGTTAGCAGATTATTTAACTTCTTAGTCTAAACTGACACTTTGTTGCTCAAGAAGGGGAAGGTTTGGATCTTCTGCATTTATTAAATACCAAATGGAAAAGAAGCAAAGGTGCTACTCTAAACTCTTGAAGGTGACACACTTTAGGGTTGGAATCAACAGACTTGGGAATTACTAATAATTAAGAACAGCACATTTTATAGCCACTTTAACAAAAGCCAGGAGAAAGATGATATTCATAGCACTTAGTAACATGGACTTTAGAGGAAGACCAGATTCAAATCTGGGTCTGTGGTGAGGAAGTCAGTTTAGTAAGTAATATCACTGAAATTGGCTTTACTTGCACTTTCAGTTGTCTGAGTTTACTCTGGATGGCATGCCTTCCAATGGATAAACCTGAAGATACCAAGGACAGTCCCCTAGACCTCTGTTGTTTTATGGGTAGGGAGGAGAAAAAAGGGTCAAAATTAAAGGTAGGGTAATTATAATTGAGATTGTTTTACATACCGACTCATCCATAATTCAGTTTGATCACAGAAACCTGTTCCAACAGTTTTCTCCTGTTGAAACAACAAACACTAAACAATTTCTTGGGAAAGTGCTGTCATTCAGGAAGAAGAAGTTTCCTGGGTTCCATCTCCAATACTGCCCCACCCGCACCCCCGAGTGCCCCAAAAGATGTTTCCCAATGGCTCTTGGCTATTCAAGGCTAGGCTGTCCACTTTCCTTCTCACCAACCCTAGCAGCTGCTGCTACTGAGAAAGGCACAGGGGACTAACATGAATGTCATGAGTTTTAATGTTTAACTTCAGTCCAGAAGTGGGGGAGCTAGAGCTCAGGAACTAGTTAGTCTACAAAATAGAACTCATGGGCCAATATATTCACAAAACATTTAAGATCCTTATAAAAAGGGGACTGCATGGTCCTTAAGATTTTTGTTAAGATGCAGTCATTCCTAAGTAAAATGACTATGAAGGGCAATTTGGTAAGGTTTAGTTCCTTTTTCCAGAGTTTGCCAGTATCAGGAGAAGACAGACATAGGAGCTTTAGGCCTGGGCTAGCTTCCCTTCATAAGAACATGAGCTGGCCTCACTCAGGTGCATGTTCTCAAGCAGGACTTGCTTTCCCTTTGGAATGCTTTTTCCCAAAGCTAAACAACTCGTCTCAATTGTGAGCCCTGGCATATCAATTCTATCACATCCATATCTTTTAGTCATTTTTTTTTTAAGGTCTCCTATCCATGTTAACAAAAATACATAATATTTAAACTGGCTTTTTAACTATTCTTTGGAACAGTAGAGTGTCCAAAGACATGGAACTATGCCCTTTGGCAAGTTATTGGCATTAGCTGCCTATTGAAGGATCCAGTTTATGTACTTGCCTTGAACACATTTTGCACAAACTCAAAAAGTTCCAGACAAAAGTTTTCTCTTTCATATATTTACACAAGTTCAAAATGATATTCACAGCATCTTCTAAATTTTGGCCAAGAGTCAAAAAATGCATTTAAACTTTGGAACGTGCCCACATAGACAGGAGGCTGATCCCAACAGTAGTTGGGGCAGGCGCCTGAGAACCAAAGGGCTGGAAAAGTCAGGAGGAACTGAGAGGCTTCTTCAGTTTATGGACTTGTTGCAGTGGGACCACGAGGCTGACACAACAGAGATACAGTTCATCTAACTGGCACCTGTCCCTTCCATTACTTGCTGAGCCTGCTTCTGTCCCATGCAGCACTGTGCAACCGACTGGAATAACCTGAAGAATGGAGACAATAACAAGTTTACTTGAGAGGAAAGTTTAGGCCTAATAATACCTAGTGCTTTAGCTGCCACTGCCTTCTTAATCACAGACCCAAGCTAGAGAGAATAAACGAAATCTGTCCTGTTCCACTGCTAGTTAATTAAAAATTACTTTTAACTCACTTTTCAATTTCTGGGGCACAGTGTACAAATTCGTGGTTCCAGAACTTAAACGCTGGATTTTTAATTAGTTCAATGAAGGTAATAAGAAGACCCCAAGGATGTGGCCTATTTACAATCAACCGTTCCAACAGAACCCTGGAGAAAGGAAGAAAGGGTTGGTTAAAGCACAGAGAATACATACAAAAGTATGATCATGCCTATTACCTTATTTCATAACTTTTTTCCCCCATGAAATCAAATTTTATCTTCCTCCCACATGTGAGGCCCTGGGTTCGATCCTCAGCACCATGTAAAAATAAATAAATAATAAAGGTATTGTGCCCATCTATAATAAAAATAGAAAGCTAGATTAAAAAACAAAACAGATTAATTAATCTACCTACCTACAAAGCATAGTAAAGCATGCAGTAACTAATTAGTATACCTGGGGATTTGAATCCTGTCCCTGAGCTCTAAAAGTAATAATGGTTCCTATCTGAAAGATGATCAGAATAGGATGAAAGGCGGAAAGCCCATAAAATTCACAGCCCTCCAAAAATGAACATCCAATGAGAGCTGTGGAAAAAATTCTAACACTAGTGCATGTGTAAAGTATTTACTTAAATAGTCATGTCTTTTGACCTACCAACTGTAATTCTAAATTTGTCCTAAGAGAATGAAGATTAAGAACAAGACTTTACTGCAGATTCATATACAATCACAAAAGGGCACACTATCATCTAAGCATCCAATAATAAAATCAAGTTTTGGAATATAAATCCAAGAAACCATACTTAGCACAAGTATTAGTATTATTAAGTGAATCGACAAGTTTTTAAAGTATATATATATCACCAGAATCTACCTATTTCCCAATCTCTAATCCTACATATAACCCAAGCAATCTGAAACAGACTTGTATGTTAGTAAAATATCCTTTTATTTCTCCTGCTTAAGACCTTCCTTTCCACCCAGAAGTAATTAAAAAGAAAAAAAAAAAATCAGGATTTTTGGTGAGGTACTTATTAGGCCTGTACTAATTCAGAACTCTTGTCAAAAATACTGCTGCCACTCCTACCACTACCTCAAAGAAATTCCTGCCTCTCAATAAAAATGTGCCCTTTAAACAAAAAGTTAACATTTTAACAACAGAATTAAGAGGGCATGGATCCTGATCACAACTATATCCCATACTTAACATGGTATTTAGACATGTGAAAAATATCCAAACACTTGAGTGAAAAGAAAAGAACTCTTAAGAATTCTAAATGAAGAGAAAGGAGCCAATTTTGAACAATTTGAAAATGACTTTTTTTTTTTTTTTACCTTGTGATCTGTTCCTGGATAGCTTCAGTGTTGGCCTCTGCAAAAAGGTAGAGCATGGTGCAGCTGAAGTAGTGAGTGTGGCTATTTGGGTACCGCAGCTGATTTGCAATTGCATTCAAGAAGAGATACCGACCTAGAAATTAAAGAAATTAATGAGGACTTGCTCTAAAAGGCCAACATAGGAAGGAAAAATAAGATTTGGGCTCCTTAGAGAGGCTTTCAGTCTCCCTGAGAGTTTCTCTTTGTGGGTTTTTACTGTGATAGTTCCAACATTAGAAATTTAAAGGTTTTTTTTGTTTGTTTGTTTTGTTTTTAAACTGGGGTAGGTGGTGCTGGGCTAGAGACTGAACCCAGGAGTATTCTACATCTGAACTGGTATCTCCAGACTTGTTGAGACAGGGTCTCTGTATATTGCTAGGCTAACACTAAACTTATGATCCTCCTGACATAGCCTCCAGAGTTGGTAGAATTATAGGTATATGCCACCACACCCAGCTGAATACTTTTTATAAAATCCACTTAGTTAATGTAAATAACATTAAAAAAAATTAGCCTAAAAATTCAGTGAAAAGGTGTTTTAACATTTTACATGTCCCTTTAATGTCATCATGGAAGAAAACTGGATTCTCATTTTTGTCTATACATTTAATCAGTTGTAGCACATTTCATGCAGTCTATGCGGAAATTTTCCTATATGCTGTGACAGACCACAATAAAATTTTGTCTTATTATTATGCTTCACAGCCCATCTAAGAAAGTCTTGAAAATGCCCCTCAAAGTTTTAAAACCACACTTTGAGAATGATAAGTTTAATAAGCCATACTGGAATTAGTATTAACTGGGTTTGGATGTCTGCCTGTGCATGATGTTACTCATGGTTTTTTTGTTATTGTTCTCTTAGTTATATATGACAGCAGAATGTATTTCAATTCATTGTACACAAATAGAGCACATTTTAATTCTCTGGTTGTACATGATGTAGAGTCACAGCATTCGTGCAATCATATATGGATGTCACTCATGTTTATGAAGCTATCATAGTCACCCTGCACACTTCCCTAATGGCTGTCCTCCTTTTAGTGCTAAGGTCTGGATGTTAATAATATTCAATTTCATCAAATCTGGATTTTAAGCTCTCTTGAATCCCTTCTAAAACAAGCAGTATATATATATACTCAAGATTCCTTAGTCTCTGAAGAATCCACAGCAAAGTGAAAAGTAATACTACTTCTAAAGTACAATATGCTAAAATGAGTAGGACTGTATAACAGCTATTTAGCAGCTAACTGGGGTTCCCACTTTGTAAGAATGAATACAGAGCACCAAAAGAAATGTAGCTCAACCAGGAAAGATGCAAAGTAATAGGAATTGTACTGTGAACTTCCTGCAAAATAGGTAGGGAAGTCCTGTTTAATTTTTTTTTTTTTTGGTGGATTGAACCCAGGGCTTTGTGCTTGCAAGACAAGCACTCTACCAACTGAGCTATACTCCCAGCCCCCTGTTAAAATTTTTATACCTCACATTTAGTATGTCTGCAAACAGGTGCCAATAAATGCTGGTAAACAGCAGACTAATAATGTAAAATAAGCCAATGTTTTAATAGACTACTAAGTTATTTGCATATTAGAATAATCACAGAGACCAAAATACTAATATGGCAGAATTTTGAATAATTTCTTTTGGTGTCTTTTACATTGAACAGATAATGTCCAATGAAAGATGAAATAACCAGCTATACCTATAAATATACTGATAGAATATTCTTTTATTGTAGCTTAAAGCATTTTTATATTTTGTGATCAGACTGTCACCAAAAAATCCAGAAAATTTGTGTGGTCTGGCTGGCTTCACTCACCCTCAGTGTCCAAATCCACAGCCAGGTTCTGGAAGATGTCCATGTGTGCAGAGTGGGTGATGGTGCTCATTGAAGGCGTGCTGCCCTTGTTGTGGATATGTGCAATAGCCTGAGTCCCTACATAGAGCACCAGTGCATTGATGAGCTGGAGGTTGTAGCGATTGCCAGGCTCATTGGATACCTTAAATGAGCAAAACAGAAAACTTACTCACAGAACTCACTCTAGCACCAATATTTCTAAACTTGCCTCCATAGAAAGGCTAAACTACTCTCTGTGTTCTTTGTGATTTAATTAATAGAACCCTGCTTAATTCAGTGAGGTCATTTAACAAATATATAACTGCCCTAATAATGGTTCTTCCAATAAAAACATGGGAATCCAAACAAATATCATCACTATGTTTGTGGCACAGTTCTAAATAAAGTTTATCAAGCCAAAACATGCAGTTACAATGAAGATCTCAGTGGCAGATATGATGACAAATTCCTAAAATCCTAGCTACATAGGAAGCTGAGGCAAAAATATCACAAATTCAAGGCCAGCCTCAGCAACTCAGATCCCAACTAAAAGGCGGATGGGGTAGGGATGGAGCTCAGTGGTGGTAGAGGGCCCTTGGCCTCCATCGCCAGTACTGCAAAGGAAGAAGAAGGGGGAAAAAAAAAAAAAAGATTTGGATAGGGAGAAAATTATGGTCACATGGTGTGGCAGGATTGGAAAGATAATTGAAGTCATTCTTTCTATATACCAAATTGAACCAGAATTCATTTATTTAGGAAAATCTTGAGAGTACAAATAGGGAATGGCTAAATGGCCTATTCTTGTGGGGAGGGTGGACCCAAAACAATCCCACTGCAGGTTGTCTAATCTAAAGCTATAGCCTTATCTCACTGATGAAGTAAACCAGTAAAATATGTAACTAAGAAATATGAAAATGTTTCTAAACCTTTAAATCAGGTTGAAAATACTAACTCCTGAAATGGACGACACACAGAATGATGCTTTCTATGGAAGACATAGCAGAGTTAAGCCAAACCAGTTAACCTGTAGATTGCTGCGCAGATCAGACAGAAAAGTGACCGGTGATCGAGTTTTAAGATAGGAATCCAAATCCTTTTTGAACTGAGGTGGCATCACTCCAGTGAAATTGGTAAGAATCCGGGGTGCAATGTTAATTTCACTCAACATGTCCACCTGCCACAAAGGCCAAAAATCAAAACCAGATCAATCAGGAGCTGACAACAAATTGTATCAATACTAGAAAGTGACAGGGCTTTTTTTTTTTTTTTTTTTTCCTCCTAAAATTACACACACAACAAATATTCTGAAGAGGGGACTGTCACTTTCTATTACTTCATCTCCCTTAGAAGAATACAAAATACAAAACGATAGGAATTTCCTTAGTCTGTAAAATGTTTTTCCTTTCTAAAATAAAGCAAGATAGTACTGTGGAGAGGTCTAATTAGTACCATGAACCAATTTTTCTTAAATTTAGATTTCAAAATTAAGAGTCCAGAAGGAGTTTCCTTGCTCACCACCCAATGTCCTAGAGAATAGAAGATATTACACATTTTTTAGAAATTTAGATGGGGGCGGGGTGAAGGGAGTAGAAAATACATAAAAATTTCTAGTATCCATTTCAGGGTTGTATCCATTTCAAAATGACTCCTCCTTTACATCAACAATTTAAACACACGCGCACATACCACAAAATATGTAAAATACAAACAAAAGTCTGTCCTTATTATAAGTCTTTGTCATATGGGAAGTCTGACA